TATGTGGTGAAAGGTCCAATGGCAGCAGCCATAGCTTACATGAAGGAATGGAAATGGCAAGTCCATGACCTCCATCGATGGCATCGACCGGGAGGACCATACCTGGTGGAGGCTGACCTCACTCTACAAGATCCTCAATTGATCAAGGAAGCCCAGGCCCAACGAACAGCCAGACTAGCCAGCAAGGAGCACCACCAACACCTCGTGGCAGGGCTCGACTGGCACACTTACCGACAGGTCATCAAAACCATTCCAGGTGAGCACAAGCCACATCTGCGGACCTGGACACAGGCAGCCATCCACTACAAGGAGGATGGTAAGGCCAAAATGTGCCCCATTTGCAAAGTCCCTGCGACCACCAAGCACATCTTGTGGCTGTGCAAATCAGAGTGGGCGGAGCGTATCCTATGTGATGATGAAACCCCTCTATGGACAGCTGGCTGGATACCACTTGAACCACAAGAGAGCAAACACACGCCACAGCCATACCAGGGCCATGGAGCGTGGCAAGATCTACACCCACTTGCACCACATCAGCATCAAGGATGGGCTTTCACCTTAGTGGACATCAATGCGGTGCCTGTGGAATTCGAGTTCATCAAGAAGCACTGACGGTGCAGGTCATTGAGGAACGCCTCAATGAAGACTGTCCCCAACTCAGGATTGAGGATCAACTCCCGGCACCAGAGCAACCGCACCAGCCCATGCCCAAGAAAATGACCAGAACTCAGGTCATCAAACACCTCTTGCATCAACAACAAGAGGCCAAGCCCCAACCACAGCAGCGCGAAGCTTGAAGAAACGGCGGGCTATCTACGGTGTGTGAGATGTGGCACCAACGTACATAAACGGAGCAATGAACAAGCCTTCCAGGCTTTCGTTCAAGGGCAATGCCTTGACCAGCCATACACCCAGGACCATGCAGGTCACTCCAGTCATGCTTTGTGGCAAAAAGGAAACAAAGCAACATGTACACAGTGTGGCATCACCCTGCACCTTGATGGCCAGCACCGGCTCATCCTCACAGCTGCTGTCAAAAAGCCTTGCAAAGGCTCAGGCAGCCAAAGCTCTACACCGTTGACCGAGATCTTCAGGAAGCAGCTGGAACAAGCATCACAGAGTGGCTCCCCGGACTCATCTGGAGACACCAGCCAGCCGGCACCACATGAGTCACAGGCCCTGCCAGAACGAGTCAAGAAACCCAAACTCGAACCAAGGTGGCCACCTCAGACTAGCCACTCTGAACACCCAAGGCCTACTCCAAGGAGACTGCATTTCCAAACGGATCTTGACCTCCAGGAACAAGGCCCTGAACACGCCCAAGCTGCAATGGCCATGAACCCCAGCCACGAGGCAGCACGGGCATCAACCAGCTCGAGCCGAGGAAATGATGCACCACCTCAAGCACAGGCTACAGCCGATGAGTTGGACAGCCACCTCACTCCCGGCAGTGACCCTGACGAACAACCTTTCACTGTCGAGTACTTCTGAGTGACGGCATCCCTGAGGCACCAGCCCTAGCACAATGGCCACAACGGCCAAGGAGCTCAAACTTAAGAAGAAAAATACATACATACATACATACATACATAAGTACATACATACATACATACCTACATACATACATACACAATCATACACACAGACAGAGAGACAAACATATATATACTTGAGGCACCGCCCATGTATGATACATGTGCCCCCAACAAACATGTGAGCAAAAGTGCGCCGGCAATATCAATGACAGCTGCAAGTTTGTCTGAAACAGCCTTGGCCACGTCGGCATGTATAGGACAAGACTTCGACCACCGCGGTTACCAACTCAAACCGCTCGTTCCCCTTGCCACAACCACCACTAGGGTGGGAGCTCACTTGTGAGCCATAGGCTGCCGAAAAGGTGTGGCGCGCTTCGGGCTGCGCTGCTTGGGTTGGGAACCTTGAGTCCCTACTTTGCTTGGATCTTGGTGCACCTCCGACTTCGTTCAAGCTACATTGGTAGCGGAGCCACGGCTCCAAGGCTCGCTACCTGTGCACTCCATTCCACTACCACCTTTCAACCTCACCGCCATTTACACCACTACAACCTCTAGAACGCCTTCGACCAGTTTTTCCAGCCCTACCGGTCTACGACCAAACTGCCTCCTGGCCTTCCCTGAAGAGGACGAAGGCTTGCTTGCGCTTATACCGTTTGTGTACGTGCTTGCCTACCACGACACGGTCTTGACTGTGTATGAGAGAAAAGCTGGTGATGGCTACAACGACGGAGAAGAAGGAAAGCGGGAGGTTTGAGCGGAACTTGCTGATGCAGCAGCCCTGCATGGCAGCAGCCGTGGACTGGCGCAAGCTCCTGTCATACGAGCAACAAGCGCGCTGGCCAATCCTTGAGCAGCATGATATATGAACGCAAGCAAACCCAAACCCTTCCGCATCGCTCCAATACGGTGAAAGGAACGAAACATGTAGGTTTAAGGTATGGCTCTGTGAAATGTACTGGTCAGGAGGTATTCTTTTAGGGACCTAGTTCTAGATTCTAGATCTTCAGAATGGCCATGCTGGGTTTCATAAAGCACTTTGGGCTGACAACCTCCTTCAATGTCAGGTATGGAAGTTTTCAATTTGGGCTGTGTCCGTCGTGGTGCCTTATTGCGGTGCCTGAGCTGCCAAACAGGCTCGCCAACAGCCCGGCTGTTGCAAAGTCCATCAGTCTTTCGTCTGATTTTGCATTTCAGTGTGGTTTGTTGGCCACCGTCGCACCTGCGTGCCTCTTGAGATGTGCAACCCGCTTATCCGCAGACTGCGGTTGGCGATCCCGCCTCGCTGATCTATATAGTCGGATTTTATGAGCAAGATGATGTGTCTAGCTGCCACATGAACCTACGTGAAATCTACGTGATTCGTGAACTTCACAAAAAACCTACATGAAGCCACACGAAGCCTTCTGACCCTATCAAGCCAAGCCGATCCACTTTCACGGCAGGCAATGCCGAAGCTTCGCATCCCATAAGCGCTTTGTGCAAAATCCCCGTGTTTCGTCAGAAAGGCACTGTGGGTGCTTGACTGCGACAACATCATTCTCTGAATGCTGTGCTCAATTCTCTGACCCTCTGCATCGTGGGGCAGGAAAACAGCGCACAGCCACAGCTACAAAGGATTACAAAGGTGTGATGAGCACGAAGGAGTGCAGTCTTCTTGGGTCTGCGAAGTTGGTGCAGGGCAAAAAGCTGTTGCGATTTGTGGGCCTCATGGAATTCATGAACCCGAGCCCGCAGCTACCAGGCGCTGGTGATCTCATGATTCCTCCTGTGCGCCATCTCAGTGTAATCCAGCCACCTCCTTGGGCCTATTTCTCATTAACACATGCTGAACATGGGCAGTTGGGATTGAAGACTTAGCATTTGCCGTTGTCATTGAGAGAAGCATTGCCGAGTGGCACCTCAGGGTGGCTAAGTTGCGCCAAAGTTTCGGCCATTGTGGTTGCATGATGCAACAAAAGGCACCGTCGTATTTCACAGGAAACCGCACGCACACGTATGAATATGTTCGTGCACGTAGCTACACATTCACACCAAGAAACCTTTGAATAGGCAGTGCTTGGAACATTCCTAACACCTGGCACGACGAGTAGCTGAACTTGTCTGATACATGTAGACGCACACATATCTACAGCCATACTTATATATATGGTGGTTGATCTAAATTCCTTTCATCTGGAAAGTGCCTCTTCGCGAAAAAAACAATTACTTTCGCGAACCCCATGTTTAACTTTCGCGAACTTTCGCGAAGTATGATCTTACATATTCAGAAGAAGTTCGGGTACATGGGTATATATAGTAGTTAAAGGAAAACTCTGATTTCCTTCTGAGCTGGTGGTCTGAAAAGATCACAGTAAGCAAACAAATAAGGGTCCCTTTACCTACAAATAACATACATGGTTACATGAACTTTCGCGAAAAAAAATACTTTCGCGAACCCTGTGTTTAACTTTCGCGATCTTTCGCCCGGTTGGTACTCAGTAACCGAAATGGCTGTTCCATATGAAACTCCTTTCATGGACCTTTAGATCGATGCCCATATATCATATCCCCGTTCAGTTATGCAAGTGCAAAGGGGAACATACATGTGTACGTACTACATGTGCAACAGTGCATGTGCACAAACTTCCACACATCAGGCCTGTTGAATATGCCCCCCATCCAAGCAAATATTCAAACGAACAATGGCACACCTTAATCGCAGCGCCAAACGCCAATGCACAGGCGATACTGTTTGCAAGTTCGTCGCTCAATTGAGATTGATTGCTACTGGAAAATGCTTCGGGCGCTTTGCATCCGCTCATCTGTTGCGAGAAGCGCTCTGCAAAATACAATCGCTGGACATGCGAACCGCAGGCTAGCATTCTTTTTTTGGTTGTCTTATCTTGCTTTGCTGTGCCTCCTTGGTTTCGCACATCGGTTTCCAGTCTTGGCCCGGCATTACTTCCGCACCCGTACCTGTCAGTACCTCAACACGTTGTACCAAAGGGCCATAAACCCGAATCCAGGGTCCCGAGGTGGTTCTTCAGGGGGCAGGGTTTTTAGTGCGTTCGGTGTTCCGTTCCCCTCTTAAATTGGGTGGGGCTTTTGAACAGGCCAGTCTAGACCCGAACAGGTGCGACTTCAAATAACTTGGGTCGCTCAGCCCGTTCAAGCTGCGTGCGCCAGAGTTGGAAAACATCTGTCATGCACTAGGCATGCTTCAATATGTACGGTGAAACCACCAACCGAATCTCTCCAAGCAAGTCGTTGTCAGAACTTGCTTCTGGTACTCGGCAGTGTCTCGCATGTGAAAGAGGGCATCGAGGCCGCTATGTTGAGACTGTTAGGAGTGGACCTAGAGCCTACAGGAGGAAAACGGCTGCATGCTGTAGCAGGTGTCTGAACAGTTCCACATGAAAACAATGTCCAATGCATCTGCCACCATCGCATGTGAGACAGCGCAGAAGTCCTCTAAGGGCTGCCACTTCATGGCCTCATGATGTCCAGGATGGTCCAGGTCCAAACCATATACTTGTTTGTCTATCTTCACAACGCTCACAGTGACAACCCTCTCTCTCGTTCACCGCTCTCTCTCCCTCTCTCCTCTGCTTTGTTGGATTCTTTTTGTTGGCGCAGTTAGTTATAGTCATACAATTGTTTGTGACGCTATCCGGTGGGTTGAGTCAAGGCGCCTGCAATCCATATTCTGCAACCATGTTCTCTCTCTGATTTGTGGCAAATGCCTTGCGCTTTCACACCATCCCCTTCCTGCATTCGCGGGTTTATTGTGCGTGGCAGGCGCTAGCTTTGGCATTGAGACATGCAATGCCTTCACAAGAGAGTTGGGCAATCGAAGCCGCCAAAATGCAATCGCCAAGACTCCAAGATGAATTTGCGTCGCGCGTTCGACAATGTGTGCTTCGTTGCTGACACAGTTTCGAAGCTCGCCGTGGCCCGTTTGTCTTTTTCCATCAGCTGGTTAAACATTGTCTGCGTGGAGCTGCAGCATTGGCGTGGAATGTTCCCAGTGAAATGAAACATCGATGCCACCTGTGCCACCAAGGCGTTGCGCATTTTGTTGGGGTCCGCTGACCACATTGCATTGCGCAATTGCACTTTGGCCCTCCCGTGCTGGTGTGCGGCTGAGCACGCAATCACACGCAGGCCGCTTGCGACTTGCGGCGTAGAAAAGGCTGCGACAAACATGGGTGTGGCAATATGTCGCCTCAGAAACAGTGACCATGTCGTTTTGATCGCGTCTCGGCTCCTCGTTTTCTTACAGCCAGAACAAATCCCTCTCGAGTAGTGCATATTGAGCACAAGTGGTATGAACAAGTGCTTCAGTTTGATATGCTTTGCCGTCTTGCTGGAACCTGCGCTCGTAGTCATAGTCATGCTCTTTCCTGCTAATTATGCAGCGTTGCAGCTTGTACTCACTTTGATCTGGTTTTGCTGCTTGCCTTTCTGATCCAAAGTCTGCTGTTGTTACCTCCTAGCTGCTGACCTGATGACAAGACGCACGGCCTCTTGTTCCTTGTTGTTGGGCAATTGGCCTAATCCGCAACGACGTCAACGCTTGACTTGGACCAAAGCTGAGAATGTGCTTGTCCACATTGCTGCGGGTCGCCAAACAACAGTGTAATGCTTGTGAAACCGCACGGCGCGTAATTCCGCTTCTGCTGACTGCGCGGCTTGCTTGTTGCAAATCGCTTGCCAGTTCTTTTGTCGAATGCGCTATGTCTGGTTTCTGTGTGTGTGCCATCCATCAGAGCTACCTGACTACTTGTCGGCGCTCGGTGTTTGTTCAGGTTGAGTGGATTTCGTGGTCCGCTCAGGAGAGCGCTTCTGTCCATGGCTTTTATGAGCGGCGCGCTTTGTCAAATTCCCTGTTCTTCAAATCACGTTTGGCGCTTTTGATCTTTGTGGAAAAAATGAGTCTGCTCGCCCTTTAGCCTCTGATGATAGAAGTAGACAGGTCCTCACAGAGGCACCCATAGATCAAACATGATCAAACCTCTTTAACTATTGCCAATGCTAGGGCCCTTCGTCAACTTGCTGATTTAAAACTGTTGTTACAGTTGTTCGTCCTCGTGCGACGTCGTCTTGCTCCTTTTCTCCTGTCTTTCACCCACGGTCAAATCTCGTATCCTGCTCTTTGTTGTCGAGTTTCTTCCGGCCTTGGTCATTTGACTGTTCTTGTTTCTGCTGTCCCTTGTTGCTCTGCAGCGCTTCCTTCTGGTATTGTATCGTCGTCTTCCTCGGTCTCATATCTGGCATAGGGGGTGCTTCTCAGCTGGTGACCGGTTCAACCTTCCTTTCTTTTTGTTCTGCGTTTTTTGCCGTTGTGTTTTTGTTGGTACGCTCGCGGCCTGTTTTGCTGACGAGTACTCTGTTGTCTGTTTCTCCGTGGTGCCACAGGCTCCGGCTTGTTCCTGCTAGACAATGTAAAGTAACGTCTTTGTCAGTGGACTGCGCGTCACCCCAACCAGGTGTTGCGCTCCGTGTTGTGGAATCATCATGGGTCGCATGGTTTCTCCACGCCCGTATCGCGGTATTTCGCGCTCTTTATTAATCTTGTGAAGCGCCCCGCTGTGCGCGCAGCGCGCCTACTGGATTGGTGAGCTGCGCGCCCGCCAACTATGGCACGAGAGCATGATTAAAGCGTATCTTGTGGTCGTTATTCTCCTCTGCCAACGCTCGGCTAAAGCGGTGCAAGTACGCTGGCTTATGTTAAGCGCCGCGCGGTAGTGCTGTGGCTTGCGCATTGCTATTAGGTAGCCGATGGCCTTTTTGATTTGTCTCTAGGGTTGCGAGGCTTTTGCTTACCCTTTGAAAACCCGCAGGATGTTCTGCAGGCAGCTCTGTCAAGCCAGCGTGCAGCACTCTTGCGCGTGAACTTGAAAGATTGGGAGCTGTGTGCTTCGCGCTGCGTGTACATGTGAGTCGCGTTGCGCGACCGGAAGCTCGCCTTTTCGTTTGGTGGCTCTATCGTGCTCCCATGGCCGTGCGTACCAGACACCAGCTTCTGTATGGTGAGCGCGTAGCTTGTATTATGCTTGTTCTCGACAATTGACGCCTTGCCTCGCGCGCTTGTCGTGATTCCTTGAGCAAACTTTCTCCAGTATATATATATATATAAATATATATGATTATTATATATGTCCAAGTTGCCCTCGTGCCCGCGCTCTCCACCATGAAGCGCCTGTGAACCTTCTCAGTCGAAGTTCCTGACTGTGTCCTCCTTCTCTTTCCTTTGTCTGAAGTCTATCGCTGGGTGTGGTGTTAGCCCTCATCAAAGGCGCGCTGGATCAGAAGCGCCTGCGTTTATCTCCTTCTGCAACACCTGCGACTTGTTCGATTCGTTCGCGCTGACGATTGCGCTGCGCGTCGCGTATTGTCTGTGGTGAAGTTGTGAGCCATGGTGTTAGGCACCTTGCTACACGTGCTCGCTGATGTGTTTGTGTTTGTAGGCTTGGCCCTTGGCCTTGAACTAAGCCGCGGATTCTGGCCCTGTTCTTTGTTGGAGCTAGCGCGGGCCAGTTCATGCTAGGGCAATCGTTCGTCGAGTCTTCGCCGTTGTGGTTGTTGTTGTTGTCGCTGTCGTTTTGCCTCCTGCCTCTTCTTGTGGGGTGTTCTAGTCCACTGGCGCTTTTGCCCAACTCTTGTGTGGTACAAGAAAGTGGTTTGGGCAATCGGTTGCGCATTCTGAAAGGTCCACGGGTCCTTCTCGCCACATCACATTGTTGTAAAGGCAGGCCCATAGTTTACTGTCTGCAATAATTTTGCACGTCAGTGTTCCTCTCCGAGCCATCCTGCCCGCATCTCGTCATCATCATTCTCATGATCACCTTCTTCTCACATCAGTATCCTCTTCAGCACCGCCTGGCGCTGCTATGTTCTTTCCTGTTCATGAGTTCCATGATGTGTCTCATCTAGACGGTCTCGCCGCACAACTTGTCGCTTCACGCTGCTGTCATGGTACTCACCTGTTGAATTGACCAGCGTACGCACCTTCTCACATTCCTGTTCTGTTCGGCTGACATAGGTCACTATCTTTGATAAGGTGTGGGTTGTTGCGGTCAACTTCAAGGTCAGTCCTCTTCAGATCAGTGATATCACGTATGGACTTCCCATGGCCTTCCCTTGGGTGGCCATGCTTCTTCCGCGCGCTTCTTGCCAAGGGACAGCACTGATGGCGTCTCATCAAGTGCGCAGCGCGGATTTGCTCTTTGCGCCAAAATCAATAATTGAAAGCGAGATCTTGCCCTCCCCTTCTTGTGCCTGTACGACCATTCCTTTCCGTTTTTGCAATCATCCATGACGAAGAACTTGCGCAGTACTGGCTTCGATCTCGGCTTGACTCTATTGACTCTTTCCCTTTCCTCGAGTTCTTCATATTCAGGAGAAGGATCCAATCCAGGCCACGGCCCCCACGGGCTGGCCCGTCTTAACCCGTCCACGCGCCTGTGGGCTCACCCATCCACAGGCGCGGCTGTCCGCGGGCCTTCCTCGGGCTTAACCGCCACGGGCCCCATTCGCCTCACGTCCCCACAAGCCCTGCGAATGAGGGCGCGGGCTGCAGAGGTATGGGCCTGCCATGGCTGCGACTGTTATAGTTGTCTTCTCCTTGTATGTAACTGCAGGCGATGGTAAGTTTGTCATTACGCGTTGTTGTGATGATGGGAAGCTGCGTGGGCTGCGGGGGATTGCAATTGCTATGATGGTTGTAGTTGTCTTCTCCTAGTTTGTTTCGTGGCTTTGGTTCCAGCTTCTTGCGCCCGTGATAACCGCAGGTGATGGTGAGTTTGCCATTGCGCGTTGTTATGATGATGGGAAGTTGGGTGAATTTCCAATGGAACGCAGTGACTATGGTTATAAAAGTTGCCTTCTCCTTGTATGCTTTTCGGGGCTGTGGTTCTAACGTTTCTTTTGTTCCTCGTTGTTTTTGTGTTCGGGCCATAGGTTCTGGGATCTATTGCAACATCAAGGCTGATATGTGGATGTGTTTGCGCAACAATTTTGACCAAACTTTCTCGGGTGGCTTCCCATCAGACCTGGCACGCGTTCTGAATCAAACCTGGTAACCGTTACTTTGTTCGGGTCCGTCGACAAAGGAACCTAGAGACCATCACCTGTTCATCCACACAGCTTCCATATCTTCCATTTAATGTATACTCCAAAAGCTGACTGAATTCTCCTTAGTTTTGGCTTCGTCTTCGGCCAAAAAGAAGAACATTCTCTGCTGTAGAATGGACGGTTATTCCAAGGTATACACTGAGATAGGTAACCTCTAGTCACCTCGAACTGCAACACTCATGCAGCGCCTTTGAGCAGGAAACACTTTAGAAAGAAGCGTGCAAGTTACGTAAATGTAGTTGTTGATGCGCCAGCTATGCAGATCTGCCTTTTTCGCGAGAGCGTCTGCGAAGGGTTCTTCGTAAAAAACATCTGCAGAACTACACCTCCTCTACATCTTCACCTCTGTACAATCACGTTGTCACCTCTATCTCTGCTCATCGTCACATCTGCACATCCTCACATCTACATCTCAGCTCATCTTCATCTTCACACATCTACATCTCTGCTCATCTTCACATCTGCACGTCTACATCTCTGCTCATCTTCACATCCTCATCACATCCTCATAACTACATCTCACATCTTTACCTCTCATCTACATCTCACATCTTCACCTCTCGCTCTTCTTAACTTTCTCTCTTAAGGCTGGGGGCAGTGCCGCCGGACCGCCACGAAACGCAACCCTCTGCGGAGATCGTGCGCGTCGAGTGCGCGAAATGCAGGCGAGAGTGCCATTTGTCTCTGCCGCGGGCAACCCTCTGCGGAGATCGTGCGCGTCGGATGCGCGAAATGCAGGCGAGAGTGCGATTTGGCCCGGTCCGGCGCAACCCTCTGCGGAGATCGTGCGTGTCAAGTGCGCGAAATGCAGGCGAGAGTGCGAGTGCGATTTGACCCGGTCGCGGGCAACCCTCTGCGGAGATCGCGCGTGTCGAGTGCGCGAATTGCAGGCGAGAGTCGAGAGTGCGATTTGTCCCGGTCGTGGGCAACCCTCTGCGGAGATCGTGCGTGTCGAGTGCGCGAAATGCAGGC